TCATTGCCTCCATTTTTTTTTGTCTGCCGGAAAGTTTCTGGGTGTGTCGTGGGAAGCGAGCAGTAACAGAAGACCGGGAAGTGGTGGGTGAGAGAACAAGCGTGGACGAGGCGGATTCTTTATAGGAGGTTAGAGAGAGAGAAGTGAGGGAATTACGGGCAGGGTGTGGGGTTTTGCTTTCGAGGCGTTTAGGACTGCCCCTGTAATTTGGGGGATGGCTGACCCACCTGCCCGTTCGTTGGACAGAGTGTCTTCAATGGACTTCTCGGTGCCTTCCAGCTGTCTCCAACGGTATCCGGCCCCACTCTTCTTCTTATTTTTCATTTAATTAGTTATTAGCATATTATTTTAAGGTCGGGGCCAACCAAAAGAAACATTAGTTTTGAGATTTTTTGTAGTGTCGTGAATCATCATTATGTGCGTCGCTGATTCTGTGAATGGGACTCGGATCGTCTCGACAAAGGGTCTTGATTCCCATGTGCTTGGTTATTATTAAGTTTGTGTTCTATTATTCTGATCAATTTAACTAATGATGTTTAATTAATTGAGGTGAAACTCGAAGCCATGAGTTTTTTTTTTTTTGGTACACAAGAGGAGATATTGTTGAGAAGGTGAGAGGCTGAGACCGGTGATGTAATTTGGGCCTCTAATAGGAGAGTTAGGCAAGAACCAGAAATTGTTGTGTAAGGTAAGGACAAAGGAGATCACGAGAATGGAGTTCTATCCATCTGTGCATGAATCAAGCATCATCCTGAGTTATCTGGTAAGGTAGTGCCTGTTCGTGAACCTCATAATTCCTCTCTCTCTCTCTCTCTTCATGAGAGCAGAAATTTGAAGTTGGCTAGGCTTTGACAGGGACAGAGCCATGCTTTAGTTACGAGGAAGGCCCATGTTATATGTATTATATATGTAAAGTTTGGCCTTTCACTGGGAGATGTTTGGCAGATGAAGGATGCATGAGTAAAATGGACGCATGGATGGGAGCTTGCCTTTAGGAATATGGTGGTTTAGGGATCAAATATCAAGTCATTGAAAAGAAGGGGACAGAGTTAGCGTTAATTGTGCGGCTTATTTCATCGTGAACGGTTTTCAAATTTAAGTACTATTTTTGCAACTCTAGTTTTTCCTTTTCAAACGTTAGCTGCCCCTAGCTTGTCTGTTTTTTCCCACTTATACTTTTCTCCGGCCGTTTACTCCAAAAAGCAATGATCTTCCCTAATTGTTCCCATTTCAGCTCGCACAACGGTAGTAAGCTACAATTTCACAAAATTATTGTCATGATTAATTAGTTCATGTGATAACAAAGTTTAGTCATACTTACATTATTTCATTTGAATGATTAATTTTGGCAGACGCAAGAACTGAGTTGTGGAAGATATTACTGAGTGATATGTAAACGTATGTGAGGACAGTAATAATGAGTGCATTTGTAGCGTAGCGGAGACTCCAAATTTAAAAACAGATCGGTCCAAGGAATGGAGAGGGACGGAGGAGAAGAAATGGAAGAGGGAGGGAATAATAGATGGTCCCCTAAGTTGCTTCCAAAACGGAAGAAGAATCCAACTTGGATGGTTGGCCACATACAGTGTGTAGCCTCTTGTTTATTGAGGGTCTCTCTATCGTTGTCTGCTGAGCAAAACTCTCTCGATATTTATCTACCTTTTCAATTGGTAACGTGTTTCCGATTCATCACATTACATGGGAAATATGCCCTGAATTAATGTTGTGGTTAGGTCGTTTAGTTTTCAAACTCAACGACTTTTTATGCATCAGAATTCGTAGGATAGTTTGAAATTATGACCATCATACGAAACTAATACTCTGAGTGTGTGTGTGTGTTGTTGTTTTTTTTTTTTTGGAGGTTTGAAGACAATAACGTAGGCGTGTTTATCACTTACAAATCTCTTCAATTTATTTCTTGTTGGGTTTAATCTTTGACATGTCATCAATAAGTTATTTTATGCTTGGCTTGGCCTTAAATATATTTGATATTTTTTAAAAATGAGTTCATAATTGATGTAAGATTAAATACAGTCGTTTTTTAACAAGGAGAGAGTTAAAAAATGACAACAAATGAACTAGAGACGAACGGAGTGATACAATGTTTAAAACAGTCTCAAATAAATTAAATGTAGTTAGACTTTAAGAGATGTTAATATCGACAATTAGGCTGGCATGAAAGTTGCCTTTTGTGTCGGTGAGAAAAGAAGAAAATGATGAACCACCATCCGTTTTCTCTCGTTTCGTTTTCTTTCTTTCAATTTTTATTTATTATACATGTTTTTTTTTTTAAAAAAATGGAAGTCTCTTTTCTCCATTCAAAATGGGAAACTAAGATGAAGTAGGCTATCAGCCTCCCAACGGCAACAAAAACAGATGACAAACTGCTTTTAGTTGTGGCTTGAACTCATATCCATTCCTAAACTGAAACAACCTCGTTTTACATTTTCATCCGAAAACAATTATATGTTCCTTTAGAAGGAAATTATGGGACCATTCAGCCTAATTAACTCCATCTCTCTACGACCTATGTAATTTTTAGTTTTTAGATCTTATTGCAGCAACTAACTGTTGACACTAATTGGTGCAATTCCATGGGCATCAAAATCACAGGCAACTAAAGAAAATAAAAACAGAGATATTTTAGAGACTTTTTTCATCAAAATAAATAAATATGTTAATATAGGTGCCCACACAATTATAAAATTATAAATATCTTAAAGGTTATGGATAAGGATTGGTTTTGGTGCTCATCGCTTAGATTTAAATTACTATTATATTTTATATTTATTAAAATAAAAATTATAAAATATTTTTTATTTTTAATATAATCTAAAATTAATTTGGATGACCCAATTTAATATTAAGAGTTTTATAATTGATGTACATTAATTATCCAGATATACTTTGCACCATCTAAATCTAATTTTATGGTAATTTGGACGGTGCAGAGTATATTTGAGTAGTTAATGTATATCAATTATAAAACTCTTATTGGACCCTCTAAATTAAGTCTATATTATATTAAAAAAATAAAAAATTATTAATTTTTTTTATAATTTTTACTATTTTTATTTTAATAAATATAAAATATAATAATATTTTAAATTTAAATCTTTCAGATTAAAATTTAAATGATTCAAAGTGCAGCGTTGAGCATTGTTCACTGAAACCAATCCCATGGAACAACTACCAGCGAAGGAACTGATCGGGCAACGAAGGATTAGGCAGGCAGAATTTTCAATGGTCAGTCACCCACCACATGAGAAAACCTGCCTGGCCAAAGGGGAAAAAAAAATCCTTGTAATTCATTCATTCAAAAACTACTAATAAAACTTGAAAAATCAATTGACAGCGTGATAAACTAAAAAATGAATATAGAAATTAGAAAGCCTTGTCCTAGGTAGTAGTTTAAAGACGTGTTTGTTTAATATTAAAAAATAGGTGATTTTTAGATAATTCAAATTTAAATACCTTAAAAAAAGACATTTATTTTGTAGATATTTTATAAAAAGGATATATTATTTAATGGCTAGTTAACTATTAGTTAGTTATTTTTAAATTTTATCATATTTTCTTTAATTTTTGTTTTATAAAAGTAATTTATTATTTATTTTTTTAAATTTTATGATATCTTTATGTATTTTGTATTTTTAAAACATTCTTTTCATCCACCGCATCATATTATTTTTAAAAATTCTTGAAGCAATTTTTTTTTTTTGAAGTAAAAGTTGGAAGCTTCATTCCATGAGAAAGCTAAACATTACAAAGCCGTAACATAACAGAAGATAACAAAACACTTACAAGACTAACGCCTCTTTCATCATACTCCATTTTCAAGGAAAGATGGTTTAGATATCCACTAACTTTCAAAAAATGTAAGCCAGTGGGCAACGAGATCTTATTGTAGCAACTCTTCCTCAAGTCAGATTTGTAATTCCAAGCTAACCAGTCACAGCATTCGCGACTATTGAAATTCCCTCAGAGCTCTGCTATAATAACTTCCAACCAGATTTCTTGGGCTATTTCACTGCTATAATAACTTCAAACCTGATTCGAGCATGTGGATATTATAAAAATAATTAAAAATATATATTTTTATTTTGATTATTTTTAAAATTTTTAAAAAAATATTATAAAAATTCACAAAATATATATTTTTTCAAACAAATAAATTTTTTTCATGAAATTAGCTGAAATAAACGGGCCCTAAGAAAATGACCGTACCATCCGTCAAATTATATACAATTCAATATATAAAATCCCAATATAGATGGGTGGACAAAACAAGCCTTCATTTTTTTAATTAATTTATATCATCTGTCAAATTATATACAATGCAATATATAAAATCCATATCTAGCTGGGTGGACAAACAAGCCTTCATTTTTTAATTAATTTAACATTTAACTAGATTGATTCTACCCTAATATTTGATTTTATTTTTTAAACCATACATCGACGCATTAAATTATTGACTCATCATTCATGAATGTGCGTGTATGTATAAAACTAAAATCAATATTACTGTACTGCATTCCCTAATCAACATGTTCAATCAGGATTATGGACCGAGTCGAGCAAACCCAATTCCCACATAAAACACGTTTTTAATTTTAATCAACAATTAATGGGTCAATGGGCCTCCCAGACACCACATGTTTCAAACTTTCTCTGGGTTTCAGTCCAGAAAAATGTTTTCGGAATCATACAATAAGGAAATGGGCTTACGTAAAGCCCAATTTAATTGAAGTGTGGCAGGTCAGCCCAATAACAACCTCATCGTATCCATCTTAGGGGAAAAAACCACAAACAAACAAACCCACATTAGTCCTTGTTTTTTGGGTCAATTATTGAGGAAAGCGTGCGAGAGGGGGGACACGTGCGAAAGTCCGACGGGGAAGGATCGAGCCGTTCATTTTTTGAATCCGACGGGTATAATTGTCTCTTGTTCTTTTCGTCGCTAGGGAAGACGGATAAATGGAGAGGGAGAGCAGGACGAAGAATGAATAGCCCTGCAAACACTTGGGGAGAAACGCAGACGCAGACTTAGGAGAAGAACCAGAGGGAGAGAGAGAGAGGCAGCCTGCACAAACAGCAACAGCCTCTTCTTAATGCCTTCACAGAGGTGAGAGTTCGACGCAGAGCCGGAGTTGAAGAAGACGTTTGGAAAACGAAGAAAGATTGGAAATTTATCCACAGAGAGAAGATCTCTAGTTTCTTCCTTCTCTGGGTGGAGGGTCTTGTGAATGTTCTGTTTGTAGAGTGAACACGCATCTTTTGTTCAATCTGGTCATCTGACCTGACGTTGCATCATTTGAAGGTTTGTTCATCGTCGTCATCTTGTGTCATTTGCGGTTGTTTGGGAAATAGATTTCCGTTTCCATCTTCTCGTTATCTTCTTCTCATCATCGGTTTTTTCTTCTTCTTGTTTCTCAGGCTTGCTTTTAAGGACTTCTATCTGATTACAGGTCTCAGGCGTAGATCTTGAGGTTGGAGGCAATCTTTGTCGACTCTTGTATTTTATGTGTTTTTTCAGTTTCTACAATGTTCTGCAGGTTATTGCGGAAGAAAACCGTACTTGTTTTGAGGCTGTATGTTGTTGACAACCCACTGCATCCAGAAGTTGAATTTCTATTTCCTTTTGTTTATTTCACTTCTGAGTTGCCAGACTGAGGGAGGAAGGCCTAGTTCGATTTGCCCAAATTTCTGAAAATTTTTCTGGGCTTTTGAGTTCATTGTGAAAATTTCCTCAACGACTGAACTAAACCTATTTGTTATGCGATTCTGATGGCAGATATGGAGACCGAAGAGAGGAGTCAGAGAGGATGTAAAATAACGGAACCAGATTTTTTCTTGCAGTGGGGAAACAGAAAGCGGCTGAGGTGCGTGAGGGTGAAAGACCCTCGGATTTCATCGCGACTCAACGGTGGAATCCGAAGGAAACTTACATCAAAGCTAGATCGTTCTGGGGTTGCTGCTCCAGACAAAGAAAGCTCTCATCTTCATCCTAATCGCCTCACAAGGTCAGAAACGACGGGATCTTCCCATTTTCTCTGTTTTTGCCGGGCAACCCCTGAGGGAGGATGAGAAAGAAACGAATGAGAAATTCTCACTTCATCTCTGCCGCTAGCCCAGAATCTGAGGCCCTTAAAAAGTTACAAATTTTACTCACTAAGCTTGTACACGAAACTTAGAGAATAAAGGGGCATGGAACTAACAGTTTTTGGGGAGATGTCGAAAATTTGCGCGTGTAGCATGTTGAATATGTTTTTGTCCTGATCTACAAGAAATCAATGTTTTGGGGTGCAGGAGTTCCGATGGGGCAACGCTTCGGTCCGCGGGTGGAGAGAATAGGAAATCGGCGTCGCCGGAGAAGGAGGACAGGTACTACACGACGAGGGGGTCGGCGGTTGCCGACGAGATCGGAAAAGTTACCGGCGACGGGAACAACGGAGAGGAGAGAGCCCACGTGTGGCCGAAATTGTACATCTCGCTGTCCAGCAAAGAGAAAGAAGAGGATTTTCTGGCCATGAAGGGGTGCAAGCTTCCGCAGAGGCCCAAGAAGAGGGCCAAGATCATACAGAGAAGCTTATTGGTGAGTATTGCCTTCAAAATAAAGGATTTTTAAAAAAATCGGGAATTTGGAAAGGAAGAAAGTGGGATTTTTTTTTTAGTGAAATTCATTGAACGCGGATTTGATTTGATTGTGGATTTGGTGGATATGATGCAGTTGGTGAGTCCAGGAGCGTGGTTGACGGACATGTGCCAAGAGAGATATGAAGTTAGGGAGAAGAAAAGTAACAAGAAGGTATGGGTGATGTGTTGGTGTGGTTTTGGAATGGTTTTGCTGTGTGTTGAGTGAATGCAGGTTCTGACAGGATTTGGCTTTTTTTTTTTTTTTTTGGATGCAGAGACCCAGAGGGTTGAAGGCTATGGGGAGTATGGAAAGCGATTCCGAATAGGACGAGGCCGAAGGAAAATGGGAAATATTTTGGAGATAAGATTTGAAGAAGAAGAAGAAGTTCGTGTTATGTTTTTAAGTGGAGGAGGGAAGGTATCTCCACTCTCTTGTTTTTGTGTTTTTTGGGGTTACCCAGTAACAACCAATCCAATTATTATTGAAAGGAAATTGCTTTACCCTCTTCTTCTGTCTTTCCTTCTTTGCCTTGGACTTCTCCCTCTCCCTCCATGGCTCCCTTTTTCTCTCTTTTTTTTAATTTCTTTTATTATTCTTCACTCAAAAATTTTCTGCTACAAAATTTGAAATGTTCTCCAACTTTTCTTAGTTTTCAGCGGGTGGTTGAAATCATTTTCTATTTCTCGGGGGAGACTTTGAAATGAGGGGGGTTATCAAGGAAAAATCTCATGGATGATGGATTTATATTTATAAAATTAAGGTGCGATTTTCTGAAAGCTGTAATTATTTTTATAATAAAACACTAATGATTATTTTGAAAGATTAAGAATCTCGTCAAATCTTATTGCATTTGTAGCTAAAAGTTTTTCAAAAACTATTTTGCTAAATCTTTTAATTAAATAACATTTCCGGGGAGGGTGAAAAGGGAAACGGAAAATGGTGGGGGAGATGCGATTTAACTTTACTTGAATGAGGAGAGATTGCCGACACTGCGATTTTGTACCTTCGGAAATTAAACCATGGTTTGTCGCTTAGACAAATCCAAACCAAATAAAAATTAAAATAAGATAACCAGTCAGGGAAAGAGACGATCTCAACACTTGAAGCAGGCAAGCCAGGCCCAAGACTGCGCTTCATTAAAATTGGTGTATATTTGATGCCCCAAAGCCAAGAAACGGTCTCAGATTCTCTCGTCTCCACTAAGTCCCAAGTGATGATAATACCATATGAAGATGGCAGTTACCCCAGACCTTTCGTTGCGAAGGAAAGAGATGCGCGCGCTTTCACTTTCAGGGTGACGCACACTGATGAGGAGGTCATGATGATGCATTCATTTATGTTGAACATGAAGCGGCAAGCTCGAATATGCCAAATATGCCTTTCTCGTCAAAATAGCTGCACATTTCATGCCAGGCCTCTTGTTTCATAGACCTCTGTCTGCTTTTTCACTTGAAGGCTAGGGGATGATCCTTGCATTATTCCCAACAGACAACACTCGTGGTGACACGTGAAGCTTCCTCATTCAAAAAATATATATATATCAAAATCAAAATCTCTTGTTCGTTTGGTTAGAGTAGGGTATGGAACGGACGTCGTGCAAGGTGTGAAAGACGGATCAAAAGAAGGTTGTCTTCTATTCTCATCTAGATTTCAACACCCAACTTATTTCATTCCATTTTTGCTCAATTTGGTTCTTTTAAAATAATGTAAAAAAAAAAATCTGCTTACAAACGAACAAAGTTCCACTTTTGCCAGGAATTGGTGGCTCTAAACTATATGTTAACAGAACATACATAACTAAAAGGCTTAGCCCCAAAATTTATTCAAGGTAACAGAACATGCTATCAATGATCATGATGGCTCTTCCAGTGTGGAGGTAAACTGCAATTTTGCATCTGTACGCTCAAATCAGGATTCCATCGCAACCCTAAAATTTGTAGCCGTATCCAGGATAACAGTGAAAGATTTCTCTCGTGCCACAACAACAGTGCATGAATAGGCTCCATCAACACTAGGGCCCAGGGTTGGTGATTCCTCAAGAGCACAAGGTTGGGTGACGTGGGGCTTATCCTAGTCTATTGATGACTAAAAGCATGCGCACTCCAACATCGACGTGGTAAATCTTTGTTTCAGCGAAATAGTTCGGTTTCTTAAATGGATTACTCATGCACCAACTCAGCTAGAAGAGAACATCTGTAGATAAATTTCGCATATAAAGGACAAACGCTGCTTGTCTTCCAGGGACTATTACACTGTTTCCATCCAAATTTTGGATGTTCTCATTTCTCCTTGGATATTTCGCACTACAAGTGGAAAGTGAACAAAACTAGCCAGTTTTATTGTCCTTTTATCCCTGAAATATAAAAGAACATGTATCCCTTCAAAGGTACCCTGCTTGTCCCCCCCGGATGAAGGATGAGTATGAATCCTGCGTTTTGCAGCACTTCAGCCCAAAGAGACAAGCAGGGAAAAGAACTTTTCATGCAATCCCATATTTCAATTGTCTCTTTACCTGCTTTTTTTGGCAAGCAATATTATAATTTAATTAAGACTGAACTTGCCCCAAAAAGGAGTTCCTTTCCTTTAACAACAATATATTCAGAACTAAGCAACTCGGATTCATAATAACCCAACATATAAGCTTCAAGTTGGCCTGGAAAGCAGCAGACAACCAAAATCTCGTCAAGCTTCCGAAAGATCTGAGCATAAAATAGGATACAGAATTTCTGCACAGAAACATGATTCACTAATATCTTACCGATAAAAAAAATAACACTAATAGGTGAACAAAGAACATCAATGAAATTAAAATATCTTCCAAATGTGCTCACCTGTAACTATCATTGATGGAGGAATGGATTAATCAGCTTGACTCTTGGCGACTTGAAGCATCTCAACAATAAGAGTTTTCACATCCCTAAAAAGAATAACCAAAATGAGGGGGGAAATCTTTCAGTACATCAATGCCCACCAGAATGCTGCAGTGTACGTAAAGCAGATTCCGTAACCTAATATCAAGTGGAAGGTCATGACAAGATATCCAGTGAAGGGTCATTGACACGCCACCTAATGAATCCCATCCCAGGAAAAAAAAAAGGGGGGGAAAAAGGAGGAGGAGGAGGAGGAGGGGGCGAAACAGTGAAGGAGGTTTTAATACTAGGGTTTCAGTAAACCAAAAATACAAGAGCACATTTGAACAACTAAATATTGATGTAGCCTTTTTTCAGGAGAAGATGGAAATTTCTATTGGATAGTGATGTCTTACTTTCTGTCTTCTGCAGGTCGAGGGAAAGGAACTCGGAGCTTAAAGTTATCACCCTGATAACCAGCCTGCAATAAGATATGTGACTTCCGGTAAGAAGGTAGAGAATTCAAAGCTTGAGAGAAAAAAAAAACTGCTTCAGAGGACCAGAAATATCAGTAACCTTTCATTTGCTATGTTAATGGGAAGTTGGGTGTAAAAGTTTTAAAAATCAAAAGTAGCTTTCAAGGAATGGAAATAAACAGAAAATCATATGGGAAAAATAAAAAAGCCACTAGCAACACCTTAACGTAGAAACCAAGACTGTCCAAATCTGTCATGAGTGCAAAGTCCACCTGCAAATGACCAAAATAATTTGCATCAAGTCTGAAAGCCACAAACCCCCTCCCTGGCACAAAAGGGGGATTTTTTTAAGGTCCACATTGAATTATCATAACTACAATATAATTGAAGCATGCACTATAAAAAGATATCATTGTAGTATTATTAGCCTTTTTTAGAACTTAATGTCCCAACATTGACAGCATCTGTCAGGTGTAAACATATCAATGTCATCAGAACTTTGATTTTCCCTCGCCCTGTACATTTGCCCCTTAACTGAATAGGACTATTCAAGCAAGCTTTATTAAGAGATTCTGAACACCAACTCAACCATACAATTTTACATGATTTGAGAGATTGCAAGACTATCTCTATGGCTAGTATTGTATACCAATACCATACAGTTTCCAAGATGAAATACCGGAACTGATGTCCAATGCTGCACGATCACTTTTGTATCTTCAGCATGGTCTTTATTCATATGAGACTGTCAAGTAACAGCAACATTTCAACAAGGATGAAACAAGGCTGCTTTATGGAAGATACTGCTATCATGAGATGATCAGTTAGAATTAAGTACCGCCACTGGCTTGGAAAACTGAGCTATGGGATCAACTTTTGCAGCTTTATACTCAGCTTCACTAAATCTGAAAAGCAAAAACAAATTCAGAATAGCATCATAAATGAGTAAAATATACCTGAAATAACTTATCACCTCAAAATGTCTAAAATGAAATAAAAGAAAAGGCACTTTCTTCACAATAGCCAGATAAGTCTCTTTTACTCTCCTGTTTTCATGCAAAGCTGCGAAATTAGAAGAAAGTATTCTCAAGCTCCTAAATATAGGAATCACCACCCACATGCTGGAAATCTATATAATGCACAAAGACATTTGTTGATGATAAATTTCAACAGCACGTAACCAACATTAAACACATCACTCAATATTATTTAAATGAACAGAGCCTAAAGCAGCCTCACATGACGGCACTAATAGAAAGGCAAACCCACAAGAAAAGAGTTGTATGGCTAACGAACCTCCTGATCCTAATAAAGCTGTAGCAACCCCTGACACAAAACGTATCACTTTTGGTTCAATGCGCAGAAAGTTGAAGTCCCCAAAGTCAACCTTCAATAAGCAGATTTAATCAAATTGTGACACATGGACATGCAGAAGGAAAGAGGAGAATAATTTTGCGGAACATAAAAGGATAGAGTTACCCAAAATGCATTGGGATGTCTTGCCAAATAAGCAGCTCGAATGGCTGCTTTCTCTTTTTCAGGAACCTGATTGAGATATCAAGAAACATATTTACAATAATGTCATATAACTATGATTCAGTAATATTGAAATCATATAACCTCAATTTCCATACACGTGGGTATTAGAAAGAAAGAAAACCAAAGGAAGAAACTATCAGCATATAAAATGTAACTAAAAAAATGTTGACAACATCATAACTTACCACAATAGCATCACCAAGTAAAGTGATCACTAAATCAGTCCTATCTTCAGGATCTCTAGCCACAAGCAGTGAACATTTGGGATTTGCAATCAAGTCCTGCGAAATGTAGAAAGCATCACTTGTATCAATGGAAGTAAGCCTTTTCAGTGGTTGATTTTGTTTCTACTTTCTAAAACACATAGAGAACTCAAAAAAACATTCTGATCAATTACAAGTCTTACAGAGAGAAGAATTTGATCAAGCTTGATATGTTAAAAATTACCACAAAAGCATAATTAATCATTATGACTTTATGTGGATATTTCAAGCAACTTGTGCCTTGCAACAACAAAGCCATTTGCTTAACCTTAAATTTTATTCCTCATGTATGTCATTTCATTTCACAACCTCATGCAAATTAAATTCTAAACTATTTCATCAGCATTATTTCCCAGCAATAGCAAAACAATGTGGAGGTTGAGGGGAACCTTTGTATGAACTGCTAGGTTGCTCACTGCTAGTATAGGAGATCCATTTGCATCCAATGCATAGTCAACCATAGACCCTGATGGATAACCCTCATGCTTCTGTGAATGAAAAAGTCAAATGAAGATTAGATTATAAGAGGGAATTGAAGTTGTCTGCCAATAAAAACTAATCAATTATCATACAGAAGTTGACACTGCGCGATTGTATTAAAAGATTTTCTCGAAGTTCTCCTCTCACTGATCTAGTTTGTTAATCAACTTTAGTTTACGTCCCAGAAATATATAGTTTACTTACAGCAATCCGAAAATGAAATAGATATATGCTGACAAGAACAGACACAGGACAATTGAGATCAAAGAATATAGTTTAGCGAAGGTTTTTATCCACTTGAAAGTAATTAAGCACCTTTGATAGTAATTCAGTCTATCAAGTAAAAAAATGAAAAAGAAAAACCAACGACATCAACAAAAACAAGAACAACATCTTCGGAATTCATGACAATTAAATGGAAAGTCCAGAAACCTGAGAGAATGTAGAGAGCATCCCCCGTACACTTCGGTCCAGCATAGTACGAATTTCTTCAACTGGTGGAAGTCGAGCAGCTTTTTCCTGTAATAAACAGAAAACAACCAGCGTAAATCGTTGTCTCAACTGATCGTAATGGTATCTACGCGAAGATGTCGCTCCCAATGAGACAATGGATACAAACTACTTTGACGTTCATAAGTAGAAATAAGCATGTAGCAGACTCAATATCATACCTGATGAGCTTGAATCAATTGGAAAACCTTATCTTTGTCGATATTAACATCTCCTGGCGACACAGTCTAATTGAGAAATCAACATCAGAATAATACTGCATCGGCCATCACACAATTGTAACTTTGCAAGAACAAAACTTTTTTTAGGACGCATGAAAGCAAATATTAAGAGACATAAACCAAATAAAAGAGAGATGAAGAAGCAAAATGACAGAACATGTGACACTGCATAATCTATTAATCTTCCATCCATATTCTCTCAATAAGCTTTACGGGAACTTACGTAAATTTGATTCAAAGCCAAAACAGTCAAGTTGACCACATAGAAGCTAGTAAATTTTGGGGAAAGAAAGATAATAGATGAGAAGCGCGTACCGAGGCGTGGACTGCGATGAAGCGGCCATGGAAAAGGGGCGAGGTGGGCGAGTGGAGAATGTCAACGAATTTGGTGAGGAAGAGTTGCGTAAGAACAAAGAGAGAGGAAATAGAGGGACATTATGGCCATTTAAGCGAGAAAATAGGGACGCCCTTAATGGCGTCACCATCGTCTTCATCCCTCTGGTGTCGCGCTTCAACTCCCACCAGGTTCGCACCACTCTCACCCTTTCCCCACAAAAAATGTTATTCTGTGTCCTAAAGGAAGGACTGCGGTGCGGAGGGACGCTGTTTAGATTCTACGCGAGTTTTGCCTTTTTTTTTTTTTCGGTCTTCCTTTTTTTTTTCCCACCTCAACATTTTTCTGGTCTAACATTTTTGGGTTAAAAAAAGTTAAAAACTCATTTCAATTTTCATCCTAAAACCTTGGTTTCATATACTTGGATTTCACCACAAGTTATAGATTAAGGATTCACCGTAGTCTTGTAAATTAAAATTTTCTAATAAAATAAGTGTACTACTTTTATCTTGTGTTTATTATATTTCCATTTGAAATAAAAAAAATAAGAATCGAAACTTTCAAATCTAAACCCAATTATGTCCTAATACACGATTGCTTTCAAGTTTAACGGCTGAAAAAATAGATAAATTGCATATATAATTGATCAACTGACAAGGAACTTCAACAAAGAGCATGTTTTTTTTTTTCTTTTTTTCGCCAGAAAATAGAGCAAGTTAAGCCAAATTAAGGTCATGTTTTATCATTTAATTTCTTAATTTACCATCTTAATTTTTTTTGTCCCCCGCTGGACGTCCTAAAAAATTGGAATAATTTAAAAAAATAAATTTACTATTTATAATTTATAAACAATACAGATTATCAGGTACACATATATAATAAATTTTCTCGATCAATTACAGCGAATTTGCATGTATGTGTTCAGAACTTGATATTTCTTATGTGACTGGGTTTCCACTGATCAAAAACATGAAAATATGCATGTCAATAACAACAAAATGTGCAGAACATAAAGATAACTATTATGTCAAAATCAATGCAATAAAAAGCTTTGACGAACGTTGGAACCTTCTATGAACAAGAGTTTTACAAGAGCAGGGCATTAGTGGAAGTCAAGAATACAGAATATTACTTTGGACCGGCTTAGTTTACGTGTAGATTGCTTCTTGTACGGACTGTTTGATCATGTGATCACGTCAGAGAGCCAAGAAGTGCTAAATACCAAAAGATACAATCCATAATTACAACATATGATTAGATTAACAACAATTTAGATCTAAGCCTCACCTGCTCTATGGTACACATGACTAGATTAACAACAATTTCATTCTCCCTTTTTTTTGGGGGGGGGGGGGGGGTACATTATCTTAACTGCAACATATCATGGGAAAACGATCAGCAATATTACAACCAAACAAGAGAGATCATAATTTATATAGACAATAATCACTGGGCTCAATCCAAAACCACCGTACCCATCACAAGAAGATTCTAGGGCATAATCAATGCAATAGTTAGAAAGAGACGACAGAAAAACAAATCTGAAACGCAAGGGAGCATACAACGACAGCGATCATTCATTCATCGATCGAGAAATTAATCGGAGTGGATAGGGGCGTCATCAGCGGCGGAAGGGGGAAAGGCGGTAAAACCGAGGTAAGTGGAAAGAGAAAGGGCCAAACGGCGGAAAGGGAGGCAGAAGAGAAGGCGCAACACGGTGTCACTGCTGAATCTCTCGGGATTACAGGATATGTATTGGCACAGATTGGCTGAAACTTGGGCCACCCACACCGCTGCTCCACTGTTTAACACCATCTCTTTCCTTCGCTTTCATCACAATCCCCGATCCCCACCTTCCAGGCCTTCGTTGTTCCTGAATAGCTCAACTCAATCGATGCGTTCCCTGGTCGGCGCCGCCTCCGCGGGACAACAATCGTATTTAATTATTTATTTACTCCTTTTTTGGCCTTTTTTTTTTCGAACTTTGGCCAATTATTTATCGATCGTACTTGTTGGGATCGTATTGTGCAGCCTGCTATCAGAAAATAATAAATATAACTCTCCCCGTGTCACGAGGGCAGGAGGATTCAACGCTTTATCGGGAAACTGCCAATGTTTTGCATATTTTGTCTTTTACGAGACTGATTTACTTAATTTTACATATTCAATGGAATTAAAATAAATAAATTTTAATATATTTAATAATAATAATAATAATAATAATAATAATTTATTATGAAATAAATAATTTAAAAAATTTGCATGTCTTAATTTAATTAAAAATAAACATATTAAAAATATAAAATTAAGTATATAAATTTTTTCTTTATTTAATTACTATATTTATTATCGGACTCCTTTTTACTGCTTTAGAATTCACATTTGATTGATCCTTTGGGATTTGCCTTTTTTGGGGAAAAAAAAAATTGCCTTGTTTGATTAAAAAAATTAAATTTAGTTTTAATATGACTTGTTAACTTGGTTAGTTAATTCACCTATTTAACGCAAGGACCAGGCCACATAGTTATTCATCTGTTGGAAGGCTCTGTGTGAGACAGGTAAGCACGTGCAAGGTATATTCGCGCTAGCCTGCTTATCATAATACAGTAGTTGTGCTCCCAATTGTAAAGAAAGATCAAGGATACAAAGAACACAATCATAAGTCAAGCTATATAACATTTTTTTTATCCACTTAAGACAGGTGGTTGCTGAATCCCACAAGCCTCCTTAGTCTACATTATCTCATCACACGTCTTCCCGGCGACTCAATTAAAAAAGAAAAAAACAAGAAGAAAAAATCGCAGAAGATCATCCAAGAGAAGAGTGGGATCAAATTCCTAGAATTCAAGAAATCCTTTCTCTTCCAAACAAGAAACTACTTGTCCAGCCATGGCAGTGGGTGCTGGGCAAACTCCATCTATCTGTTTTATTTCTATCTGAAAAATGGGAAGAGTAATGTCAACATACAAATAGAAGTAACACATCATATACAGGTGAAGGAATCCCAGATAACTCCGTGAACAAGTACCTCGCAATTTAAGGGCGGTTCATAAGGATCATCAATACCAGTAAAGCCTGTGCAAATCAAAACAACGCAGTTGAGTTCAGAAGTGTTCCTAAGCAATCATGCAAGTAATTAAAAATCCAAGGTGTCGGGCTTTTTTAGACGTTTGTGCTTAATAATTCAACGACGAGTTAAAGCAAAAATGATGCTTGAGCCATTTCAGAATTTCATGAAAGTTCATCGCAAGGTACATCCACTAATACTAGAGCCAAGACGCAACACCACTGCTTTCTATGCTTTCTATAGAACGCTATTTCTTAGGACTTGAAATTTCTAATTTAATACTGAAATTGAAATTCATTTGACATGTCAGCTAGGAAAGGGATAAATAACACCAAGGCTCAAGCCTAAACCAAGAGCTTATGAAAGCCAGCTCTTGCAAGTAGGGTTTATTTAACAAGCTCCAGGTGAGGGAGAAGATGCCAACTAAGGCCCACTGACCAAGGTGCTATTACAGCTTTCCGTCTTTTCAAAATCACATAAGCTACCAAGTCAAGTACAATAATGGACGATAAACAAGGACGTCCTAAAATCAATTTACTAATGCCCTGACTCAAAAAGCAATATACTAAGCGCTTCTTCCCACTGTAATAGTTTTCACTTCTGAGAAAATGATATGCTGCCATGAGATATTGTGACTATCAAAATTTTTTATCAGGAAAGCTGCGTGAAAAGCACATTAAAAAAATTATGAACGCACACCTTTGATCTTTCCAGCACGAGCAAGCTTATAAAGGCCTTTGGGATCTCGCTCCTCACACAGTTCTAGAGGCATGTTCATGAAGACCTGTATATGTGGGTAAAATGGATATCCGCCATCAAATATCAAACAAGCAAAACAAGTTACCAGCAAAAAGATAAGCTATTTCAAGGAGAGGTTTCTTGCCGAGCCTTGCCTCAATAAAATTAGAATCAGTCATCATAGAACGGCACATATCACGATCTTTTCTATATGGAGATATCAGACTGGCAACACATATTAGACCAGCATCAGCAAAGAGCTTTGCTACTTCTCCTGAATTGAATAATTTGCTCATCAGAAAAACCAAGTAATGGCTCCCCATGGTGGGAAATTGATGAGGGGATTGAGTTGTTTTATTTTGACTAGTGTATTTCCATGTAATTCAAAAAAAAAAAAAAAAAAAAACAAAAACCAAGTGGGAAAGCATATATGCCTAAGTTCTATTGAATATAAACCATCTAGTCTTGTAATTGCACCCACTATTAAGCTATTGTCATAACCTTCTCCCCATTTCTCCAACTGTTTGAACAAACTACAATTAATTGCTTCACCAATATCACACCACTTAGTTTGTAAGATCTTTCACAGTCTCAATGCTCAATACAAACACATTTGGCCGTCAAGTTTATTTATCAATTATGAGTGCAGACTCAAGTCTATGCAATTGCTTATTATTGAATCGTCAAATTGAGGTAAACACAACCCAATCAAAATATGCAGCCATATTTCTGCTTCTGGAAACAGTCCATTGGGAAATTTATGATAAATACGATTTGCCTTTCATAATTAAAAGAAAACAATATTAAAATCATGGAAATTTTGAAATATTCGGCAGTTGGCACATAACATGAGTAGAAGACAAATTCATGATAAAATTATCCCAACTAATACTTCTTGTATTGTACTTCTAAATGAGCAGATATGCACGGATACAACTAAAAGGTCTGTTTTGATAACTAAAAGGAAATTTTATACGTATCAAGCATTTTAAAACATTGATTGATATCACTCTTATATCTACTCTCGACGTACAATGAATGAGGGGGGGAACCCATTCAAACCAGTCATGGCACCCATGTCACCTCATTTCCTCAAAAAACTTATTTATATAAGCAAGCTTACCAGTTCTGCGTATATTTTCAGCACGGTCTTCAGGTTTAAAACCAAGATCTTTGTTTAATCCATGCCGAAGGTTATCTCCATCAAGGACATAAGACAATTTTCCCCTTGACTGAAGTTCCCTGCTTAATGAACAGGCTAATGTGCTTTTTCCTGTGTGATTTTACAAAGTGGGGAGGAAAATCAGTATGATAATGACAGGTTGGGATTAAAAAAGTGTTGCATGACCGTTACAGAATGACCCAGCCCAGTGGTTAAGATGGGGAAAAAAGCAATCTCGATTTTAAGGAGCAACTAGAAGAAAGTGATGAACATCACATGTTGCAAGTACATGTTTCCAATGGTAGCCTACCAAGGGAGTATAGAAAATACAGAATATAAAGTCTGCTTGCTATTCAAAATCAACATAAACAAGATCTAGTATTAAAAAATTCAAGCAATAATCATATCAGACTAACAATATAAACCTGATCCACTGAGACCCGTGATCCACACAACGCATCCCTTTTGGTTAAGTAGCTTCTGCCTGTCAAGCTTTCCTACTTGGCATTCTTGCCAAAATATGTTAGTTGAATTGCCCAAAGTTGACATTGTAAACAGTTCTGCTGGCCCTATTTATAAATTTGAGCCATTAATTGCAACCCAACAAATAGTAAAGATTCAAAATCATAATATTAGAACAGAGCTGCATGATTGTAATGAAAACTAAATAGAAATGTGAGAGACTCTGGGCAATAAATGGCAACAGTGATACACTATTTTTCCTTCCACAAAGAGAATGAAGAAAGTTTCTGCGCTACTATGTTTTATATAATCCGTTTTTAGAAAATCCTAACAGAAATAAAAGAGAAATTTCACCAGCAAATGAAAATATCAGGATGTGAGAGAAACTTTTAGTCAACCGACATAGTATATACAACCTACACAGGCATTTCTTTTTCAATCTTGACAAGGGTGTTCTATAAAATGGTCCACCAAGAAGCAAAGATGTAAGCCAGGCATCATAGAATGGTACAGAGAGCACGAATAGATACATCAATTTAAGGATAGTGACACCATCATATCCACTAGATTGAGTCGATAAAATAATCTGAACAGGTTAATACAAGAGTGTCTACATACATTGTACTGACAAAAGCATTCCATAAAGATAATGATGAGATCTTAATGGGAAAAAAGCAAAGAATACTTGGGTAGAAAACATCAAGCACAATCCCACTCAAATTTCAGAATACTTCTCCTATATATATATATATATATATATTTAAAGCATATACTTGATAAATTACTTGAAAATAAAATAATCCACGATGAAGCCTGCCACCCATTAGTCCCCTTAGAAGCCTCTACTTACTATAGAGAGAAAGTAAAGCGTTCTTGGCCTATCATTCAGAAATGTGGTTACCGAGAGAATCTGTTCGGAATCTCCACTTCGCACACCCCTGATTGAATCATATGCCATTTTCAAACCCTCAAAAGGTTTATATTCCCGCAGTCCTAACAATGCGATGCTCCGCCCCTCTCTCCTTTCACCAATTGTAGAGACAGATTCACAGTTCTCAACTTCGCATGCAATTCGGGACATCCAAATATCCACATGCGGTTACATTGAGAAGAATATTCTCCTTTCCCAGCCCCACAAAAGGCCGAGAAAGTAAAAATAAAAAAAAAGGAAAAAGAAAATAGTACAAATCGAATTATCGAATAAGAAGCAGTCCAAACTTCAAACAATCAATTGACAGAGTGACAAGCATTAACACAGCGTCATATACCCAAAGTATGATCCCGAAGGCTTAAAATGAACAACAGAAGGAAATGCAGCTTCAATCAAACTCCAAAGCCCGTATAAATTAAAATACAAAACATCGAAACTCAGCCCATAAAGCAAAATCGAGTTCAAACCCAGAAGAGGAGGAGAATGATACATTGATAGCAAGTACCTGGGAAAAAAAAAAGGAGGAGGAAAAAAAAAAGGAGCGGTTGGGAACCAAAGTCGATTGTGCGTGAAAATGATCAGAGCTTTAGCAAATGAAGGTATAAGTACGTAGGCCGAAAACGCTGCGGGGCAAAGGATGCGGAAAGGCGAAGACAAAGGCGGAGGAAGTGGCGCATCATAGTCTCAGATTTTTTTCGGGGTGATCCATCTTTCAAAGGAGTGTCCTTGGCCGTTCGGGTGAAATAATAAAGGGAGAATCAAAATAAAGACCCTTGGTCAAGTTTATTTATATTCAAAAATTTTAAATTTTTTAAATTTTATTGTATTTAAAAAGTATTAATTTAATGTTAAACTTAAAAAAAAATGATGAAATTATTTTCTTTTTAAATTAATATTAAGAATTTCTCTACTTTACTTATTAATTATCTATTTTATTTATTCATTTACAACAAAATATTATTAATTATCTTATTTAATTTATTTTTATTTGAAGTGTTAATTATTTTACTTCATTTATTTAATATCTTATTTAACTTATTTATTGTCATACTTTCACTTAATTTTATTTTAAAAAAATAAATAATTAAAGTAGAGCAATTAATAACATTCATAAATAAATAAATAAATAAAGTAAAGAAGTTTAATATTAATTTAAATAAAGATCAATTTTATTTTTTTTAAAAAAATTAATATTAAATTAATACTTTTGCATTATAATGAGATTTTTAAAATTTAAAAATTTTAAATGTAATGAAATATAATTAAAGGTTTTTTATTGACATTCTTCCAATAATAAATGAATGAACCTGGACGCCCACCCTTTCTCGTTTTCGTCCCGCGCTAAGTACTAACTGGAAACTAAGATTACGGTCCTTGCGGGTCATGGTCCCCGGTCCATGTGCCCCATTCTATCACTTCTGCAATAAATAAAAATCGGACAAGAATTCTTACCTCCTTCAAGCACAATGAAAGTGAATTGTATTATATGAAATTTACCTTTTGTTAACTTCTGAAAATAGTTTTGCAGTGCATTAATGTGACTGCATGGAATTTATTATTAATATTAATAATCAGTGAAATAACTATACCTCCATATGGATTTAAATCCTCTGGGATTAAAAATGGTAAATTTAAGTAAAAATTTTTTTAAAACTATTTTCTTTATTTTATTGTTTTTTATAAAATATAAAAAAATTCTCTTCCTTAAAGAAAAAAAACTTTACAGAGATTCACTAATTACAATTGCAAAAGATTTAAATCCACTTGCATACAAATGGGTGGGGCGATGGATTGATTAGAAATGATTTTAATAAAACACGTGGGAAACTTTCACTTAGTATGACTTGATCTTTTTAAAAGGTTATAATATAACATTTATGTTAATTTAAATAACGGGGGATCTACATTGATTTTTAAAAAAATTAATTAATTGTTATTCTAAAACAAAAAATTATAAAAAATATTTTAAATTTTTAAATGGACGCATATATATTTCATTTATTGTTTACTTTTTTTTCTGGCATCAATTCGCCGTAGAATTAAAAAAAAAACAAAATGTTTTTTACAGTAGGCGTTTTGTCTTCAGGCAGCCGTCTGGTTGGAACGGACCTTTTCTTATCTTATGCAGATATACAAAGGAAAGAATGTTGTCAAATCGGCATTGACATGCCCCTTTTACATTCAAATGTAGAGCAGATGAGGTGGAAGGCTTCTGGAAAATAATCCAGAAGAAAAACTCTTGAATTGTTTATTCTAAATCCGTATGAAAAAAATCAAGAGAATTTGCATGCACATTATTTCTCACAAGACTTGTACAGTTCAAATAATGAAGAGAAGAAGAAGAAGAACTCTGGAGTTGCTAAGAGCCATTCACTTGGATATCCGTGTTGAGGGACCTCAAATTCCTCCACAGGTACTTCCCACTGGCCATGTCCACCAATAACCAGAATCCATTCCGAATCATCTGAAACATTCAGCTCACGCAATTCAGGAAAGGGCAATCAATTTAAAATCAAACAATAAAAAAAAAAAAAAGGAAAGGCCGTAGCAGATGGAATTGAAGGGCGGACCTACCTTTTTGAAATTAAAATCTTGGGTTTTCGAGGGAGATCGATCGGTGGCGGAAGAAGTCTCGAGTTCGGAAGAGAAACGCAGGGTCGTCCATGCGAGGTATCCGGCTAATAAGGCGGAGAAGAGGACCAAGATGAACCTGAGAGGACACATACCTGGGAAGGAAGCAAGAATATGAGGGGAGATTTGGGAGCTTAGCTTTGCCGAGAGCTTGTTTAACAGAGGAACGAGAGATTGAAGGAGAAGGTAGGGTTGGATTGACTTGGGATTACTTGGGGAGGCAGTTATGTATCGTGTGTGTGTGTGTGTGTGTGTGTGTAGTTGAGAAGAGGAAGCAAAAGCGCGTGATGGATCATACATGACTGAGTTTTACCATGTCGTAGTTTGGTTTTTTTGGCCAAATACCATTTCATAGTTGGCTTTTTCTTTTCCTGATCTGGCCTGCTTCCACTCTTCCTTTCTTTACTCGTTCTTGTTCTCGAGCTTTCGCCAATACTTGCACAATTTCTTATTTGAGTTTTCATATTCATCCGTCAATGGATGGATGAGAAATAAATTAAAATCATGATTAATAATTAACATAGAAAAATATTATGCGTCGAGTCAACCCATTATGATATTGTAGTGAAAATAAATGTGGAAATAGGATAAAGACATGTTTTTTTTTTTTTTTGTTTTTGTTTGGGGGGGGGGTCACAATAGAAAGTTTTTCAAGGAAGGAAAGCTTCCGTTCATTAGTACACACAGTAACTTAATCTGTGTTTATCCATGGACTTGGTAGTATTGAATATTTATATCTACTTCTATTTAAATTCAACTTTTAAAGTTGAAGGTTAAATATGTAACGAGGTATATAAAAACTCAATCCCATTTATTCTTTGAAAAGAGACACGGGATATGATTGTTCTGGTGGTCCCGCGAATACCCTCACCAAAAAAAACAAAGATGAGAAATTATCAAAAATAGTATTTTTTTTTTTACTATTTTTAAGAATTTTTTCTTTCAATTTTCATTGGAAAACTAATAATAAAATCACTTCAAATTATATAAATCATAATTTAATCTCTCAAAATGTCAGAATTTCAATTAAATCTTTAGAGACATCTTTGTTAATAATTTTTTTAATAAAAAAATTATTTTACCTTTACTGAAAATAATAAATCTTAATTATAACTTTTATCTAATAAATCACAATTTTTATTTTATAAATCGTACAAATTAAAAAAAAATCATAACTTATTAAGTATAATTTATATTATTGAAAAAAAATCCTAATCACTTTTACTTAAAAATAATAAATTTTATTTTATAAATTATAAAAATTAAATAAAAAATTATAATTTATCAAATGTCATTTTTATTTTAAAAAATAAATTTTTAAAATAATAAATTTTATTCACAACTTTTATTAAAAATTTTTTTAAAAAATTATAAGAGTTAAATAAAAAATTATAAATTATCGATAAAAATAAAATAATTTTTTTAATTTAAAATTTATCAACTAAAAAATCCTCAGTAAAGTTATAATATTTTAAAAAATTAAATTATCATTTATATAATTTAAAAAAAAATTATTACCACTTTCATTCCTTCTTATTTTTCTTTTTGGGTAAAATTTTACAAAATAATTTTAACCATCACATTGTTTCATGAAAACTTCAACACATCATTTGAAGAGAGATTGCTGCTTAAACAAATTAAAGGCATGTTAATTTTGACAACTACACAGATACTCACTTATATCACACTGTTGTGTTTAGCAATGTGATTACGAACTTTACAAAATGACCACTTTGATAAAGAAAACTGCTTCAATGCTTCTAAGCAATTAAGAGACTTCTATTTAAAAAAATTAAATGAAGTCTTTCTAGAACTAAAATATTGACATCCTCAACAAAAAATGGAATTGTTTCTTGATTCCTTCATCCTTTGCAATAGTTCGTAATTCATCATAATATCTGCCTAAAGAGATTTCCTACATAAACTTGAAATTTGAGATTCAACATCATTAAAGAAGCACGCGATGGAATCATTCAATTAAAAATATGGCTAATTCTGACATCGAATATCCTTTGATTGAAGGTCCTATGTTATCTCGAAAGAGAAATAATTTAAGTACTATAAAAACATTACACAGAACGATCCTCTCATCTTCCCCTCCCCCTAAAACCACCCCCACGGCCACCACCTCGAGGAGGTCCACCTCTCCCACCCCTTGGGCCACCCCTTCCACGGCCTCCTCCACGACCACCTCTGCCTCCACCACGGCCACCTCCTGGCACCTCTGGCAGCTGTGGCTGTCCCCTGCCCCCAAAAAAAAAAAAAAAAATCAGCTTATCATGTTTACTATGATAACCTTAACAGCTTTAAAGCCACTAAAAACGAAAAATAAGCTACGCATCATTCCAACATCAGATCAATCTTGTTATACAATATAAAATCTATAAGATGTTAAATCATTCACAAGTCACGAACGGTCGGACCCTTTCCTCAAATAAAAGTATGGCTGGAAGTATAGATTTCACAAAGGTAAATTATATTTGAATTACTAATATTGAGCATGCAATGGAACTTTTGATAAGGTCTATTTGAAGTGGAAATGTAAAAGAACATCATGATGAATGTTTTCCAAACGCTTACAGAGAGAGCCAGAAATAAAATAAATAAATAAATAAGGCATGTTAACTCAGTATGTGGCGTAGATCAACCCAACTCTATCTCCACATAAATCTCAAAGCTGATTCATGTTTTTTTTTTAGCAAAAAAAGAATAATGTTCTTGCGTTAAATCCTTTCTACTATATCCTTATCCTCCATCACGTTTACAGATCAAGAAAAAAAATATGCAGCTACTACAAGTATTGCCCAGTTACCAGATAATCTCACCGTAGCAATCAGTGAATAAATGACACCACATGGTATTGTTGAAGTAAGACGTGCTTGAACAATTATAAAACACAACTCACATTTACATGCTTGAACACTTATTAAAAATTGAAGATCACGTTAATTTGCCATATTGACATGCTAATTTTAAGCAGTGAGGTGCATAGAGAACATACTTCGGTTGTGGAAGAAATCTCGCAAGAGGCAACAGTTTCCTCGGGTCAATATAAAACTTGTCACCAGCTGAGTAAGAAGTAGCAACAATACCTTCCATCATTTTAATTGAGAAGTACTGCAATTGTGCAATTGAAAAGGAAAATCATATCCTGCTTCTTTATGGGACGAAATTAGAAGGCAACGGCAAATCAAAATACAAATTAGAACTCACGGATTCATTAATGGGGCCAAATATTTCGTCAACTTTACCAATTTGAGTCATGTTCTTCAGATATATAGGAGCATTGAAGAAAGGAATTTTCTCATTTGTAAGTTTTGTGACTGCATCTCCTTCACATGCATGCATAAACGTTGACACCTCTGCACACGTCAAGGAGCCTCTTCAATATGCATCGCAATCATATGTTCAACATGAAAGCAGATAAGGGCACGAAAAATATAACATAAAATTCGTGACAACAAAAGGGCAGGACACTGAAGATTTTGCCCTACTAGCAGACGAAAACATTTGCATCGCTAACCCAGAGAATTTACTGCTCCAACTGAATCTTCAAAACAGTGCATTCTTTTACCGAACTGTTTCACCCCGAAACGAAAAAATCAACCATCCACTCCACACTTAATGAAGCACAATAAACTTTTTCATCCTTAAAAGACTAATGTTGAATATCCAAAAGAAAGCTGGAAAAGTATAAGCATACAAGTCTTCCAGCTCGTGAATGAAAAGGCAACAAACCTACGACTTCGGTGGGTGGGCCTTCATCGCGGAAGCCACCGCTCCTGCCGCCGCCAAAACGACCACCTCTTCCACGGCCACCATCACGACCCCCCCTGAATCCGCCGCCCCGACCGCCTCTTGGGGGTCTCATTGTTAATGTTTAGCGATCTGACAACCACCTCCTTCTCCCACAGGCCACAGTCGCTTGCGCGTTGATACTTAAAACACCTGCAGAGTGGTTTAGGGTTTAGGGATGGTCCTCAGATCAGAGTTGGGTTAACTATGTGAGCAAATTTGGACACGATGATTCACATGTATTGGGCTGGGTCTGTTTTTAGAACTGGACCCTCATCTGGGCTCATATATTACTATTGGACTTACAGATAGTAACCCTACTTTTTCTTTTGTGGTTCTTTCACAAACACGACGTCAGGAGTACGCTGACTACTCACACCACACAACCGTAACTTTGCTTTCTTAGTTTGTTTTGTTGGCCTCCTCCTCCTCTTCTTTTTCCTCCTTTTTTTTTAAAAAAAATCTTGCAGTTAATATACGATTTATTATTATTATTATTGATAATTGATTAATCAAACTCCTCAAGATAAATTGGATAATAAGAAGTCTAAATAATTGTTGTGAAAGGACTCACTCCTATCCCTTGCATGAGGATATATTAATTGCTTTGTGAATTAAAAAAATTATTCCAAGTCTTTAAAAACGTCAAAATTGCTTTCAATGTAATATATTAGTTAGAAGAAATTATTTCTGGTAAAAAAATTAGAAGAGATTATTTAGATATTTAGTTAGCTAGAAAATTTTGTTAGGGAAAATCAAAGCAAAACATATTTAGGAGAGAAAATTTAAAGTTGACAAGGACCATAAGCAAGGCAACCAGAGCATATATTTAGAATAACATTTAATTAGATGTTGATTAGTAATTTAGTATATTGAAGTAAAAGTTGGCACTTTAAATAGGGAGCGACATTTCTTGACTCTTACATAGGACGCTCAGAAGTGAAATCATAGTTGGGAACCAAAAAAAAAAAAAACATGTTTTACTGAAAAAAAAAAAAAAATATTGTTGCGAGTTAGTTTGAAGGTTGAGTGATTAGCTGATCAAAAAGTTAGCCAGTCAAGTTGGTATGACTGACGTTGAAGCTGGGAGAACTCAGCGGCTCATCATCCTGCACAGAAAAATGAACTGATGAAATATTTATATCCTATTAATTCAGTAACTTAGCGTGAACAAATTCCTATGATTGAAGGTCCAGTTTAATTTATTCCGTCAATTTTTTTACTGAGTAAACAACGAATGGCATGGTTTACACATGAAAGACTAATCTATTAACAAGCAGTGCCGCTCTAAATAAAATCATCAATATATGCCACCGACACGACAAACCTTTAAGACATTATCTCCACTAGGACAGAAATCAAATTGTTTCCTTCGTCTACGGCGTGCGTTCGGAATAATCACTACTTGCAATTATTTGCGAGGTTGAAATAATTGATTGAATTTTAACGGGTAATATTGGGAGTTATCTATCAATTTAATTAGATCAAGTATCCACGACCTCATTTCTTAGATCCTCACCAATATAAAAACCTGAACACAGCAAGTATAATACTCAATTAATATAAAGAATGCTGTCTGCGTTCGGGGAAGAAGAAAAATCTCTCGTGCTGGATTATGGAAATATGGAGTAACGATTCTCATATTTAAAAATTTTCAACGTGAAGAAAGTGAGTTGACTAGCATTCAGCACATGATGTTCGCTCTATTTTATATGGTGAAAGTTTCGTACTGCCAATCCTGCTCCGGGTATCAAATTGCGATTCCGAATTCCGGCATGGACCGCATTGCATCTAGGAATTCTGGGCTAGTGCAGCTCTTGGAAAATCTGATAGCACAACATACTAATTAGCAAATTGTTTGAAGCACATCTGTGAAAACATTGACAAAATATGGCCTTCCCTCCTATCAAAATGAAAATGATGTCAACAAAAACATTCTCCCACTGGCTCGGCTAGGTTGGGGGTACCAGCTCTCTCACTCTCGTTCCCGTTTTTTCATTCCTATTTTTACACTTGCGAGAATTTTACATGGAGACCCAGGAACTTTAATCTACCACCACTCCAATTCAGAATCGCTCTCATCTCAATGTTGACTCATTTGTCATTTACCTACCAAGTACACGCCCTTGCGGCTAACAAACAGTCCGCCCATAACATATTGAGGCGATATAGAGATTCTTGGTCCATTTTTCCTGCAAAATCCAACACATCAGACGTTACTGCTCTACTTTAGCTTAAACTTAGGTAAAGGAAAATCATAGAGCACAGGATGGAAGCAGTTGCAATTTTGGATATTATATTTTACGCATCCTTCTTGAGGTTGGACTGATTTCTCACCCACAAAGTGAGCATCAGTCCCCAGATCCTCAAGTAAGATAATGTTATCAATTAACAAGCAAAGGGATTCAGGAGAAAAATATTATCACCCGTTGAAACAGGACCGCATTAGAAGAGCTCATCCACAAACCCACCATCTAACCCATCAAAAGGCGAGTAAAAATTGTAAATACCTTCACATGGGTGCTAGGGAAGGCAGAGGTACGTAGAGTCTCTTGAGTTTCATCAAGCAATTTGCGTTTTGGTATGCTAAGAATGAAGGCTGCCTGATCAGCAGTAGCAGCCATAGATGTTATCCGGTAACCACTCTCCCATCGCCGATGAATACCTTCACTGGGGTATAAGAAGTCAAGCTCCACAACCTTGCATTATCAAACCGGAAAAGCAAGGGAAATAAAATATCATCAAGTAGGTTCAAGTAGACAAATGAAAATAACTCCAGCATAAGCCAAAAATAAGTTAAATAGATTTAGGTACCTGATCAGAATATCCTGCATTCCTCGACATGACAACGCCCCATCGACTGCCAGCAGTGGTCATGGAGGTAACATGGAATCCTTCTTTCCACTTCTTATTTATCCATTTGAAAGGAAATGATTCACTTACTTTGTAGGACTGCTGGGTGTATGGAGTTCCTAGAATATAAAGATACTAATATAAGTCAATGAAGAAGCAACCGGAAAAAGATTCAGAAAATGAACATAAAAATTGCACATGATATGCGACTATGTTTGGTTGTGACAGCAACAATGATAAGTAAATTTGGTGAGGTTTAAGGCACTTTATACTTGAGTAATCTATATAAATGTGATGTGAAAGAAGGGAGTAGCCTATATGAGCACAAATGCTTAAACCTTTGGACATGACAACCAAGGAACTCCCATTTGTTGCACCAGCTATAGAACTAATATAGTAATTTTTCTCCCATTGTTCCATAATCCAATCCTGAGAAAAAATGTAAACACCATCCGTACATTAGTCATATCACTCATGCTGATTGCTCAATAGCATATGGAAAAAAATAATAAATAAATAAAACTTCAGAAGCATCCACCTTATGCAGGAAGACCGGTGACAACTCATAGACCTGAGAGGAGAAACCCGTTCCTGCATCCATGGTTAGGGCCCAAAGATTTGATGAGGATGCAACACAGCTGATATATAATCCATCCTCATTACCCTTGTCCACATGCTGTCGAAGCCTACTGTCTGATACATTATAGTGATACCTGCAACAAAAAATGGCCAAGCAAATGAAACCCTATTTCTAGACAAATCAGCCAATGCATCATATAGACAGTCGATTTAAATACGTTCCTTCTAGGAGCTCAAAATTCATAAGTAATTGCAAAAATTACTGCTTCGTGCAAGACTTAACAGCGGACAGTATCACTACTATAATTGCAAATTTGCGATATTATAACAGGTTAAAGTCGGGCATAGATAACAATTTGTAAATACATTGAAATAAATACAACAGTTATCACAGGTTTGAAAGCAAGTATAACTCAAATTTAATTTAAATATTTGTGCTTATATGCCATAAAAAATGTAATTAGTACGTGTGGTAGAACCTTATAAGTTATAATAGTCTTTAAAGAAATTTCAGAAGGTATCAATCTCAATGTTCCCTTCACAATTATTCTGAGAGAACTCTCATGATTCAGTAAACTTTGTTGAAACAATCAATCATGCTATACTTATGTTTCATAGTGAATGATATAATTATGCATATATATATATATAGAGAGAGAGAGAGAGAATATTGGCCAACTAAACAATACAAATTCATTTCCTGAATATTAATATATATAGGTTCTATAAATGGTAAATTATAGATTTCCTACTCAAGGATGAGGTGAAAGTTACAATATCAGATATTGCAGGATGGTTAGGCAAAAAACGGGGTTGCAACATAGGTCAAAAAATGGCTGATTCTGTCTATAACTTCATTTGTAAACAAAGCCATGTTTCTATATTTCAGGACATGCCTGCCAACAATATTTCTGACATGCTAGAAATCAGAAAACATTACCAAATTTCAAGTCACAGTAAAAATACAAGCTGACTATCTAGGTAGCAATTACAAAAGCCAGCAGATTAATATCTTCACAAACTCGCCTCGAGTTTTGGACTTGTAAAAGAACCACTCAGTCGAGCAATAACACACCAAACTCAACCATTAGAACAAGATAATTTCATGCTCATCATATTGCATGGGGCAATATTAACAAGAACAGACAAATTGAGGACATAAAAATTACCTCTGTTTCATGGGACGCCGTGCATTATACACTGATATCCACTGAGTAGCAGGATTCCCCAATCGCACTTTCTTCTTTGGCTGCTCGTCTTCTCAAGATTTATAAGCATTCTAGCCCTTTTTTGTCCAACCTATTCAGCAAAGGCTAGCTTTATTATGTGCAACTCAATCAATAATCATATGTAATGATTTAACACAAACAAAAAATTGCAAGCAAACAATTACAACAACCTTTAAAGCTCCATCAATTCTGATTGGTCTCAATAGAGAAGATGGTTCAATTAAGCTATCAAATAATGATATAAGCTTGGAATAGTTGGGCTCCTCATCAAATCTCATGTTAGTAACAGCTTCAAGGAACTGCTTGAATGGAGCAGGACAAAAGCAGCACATCAACTCTGGAGAAGTGCCCATCTTTTTCTTACAGACAAGAAAACTTTTATTGTCACCCTGTATATTGCGAAAAAGAATGCAAGCAAAATTATTTAAAATGAAACTTCTAAGAACCAAAATATCAACATATAAATTAAAATTATGAAACAACCTGATAACCCTGCCAAGGTAACCTCCCCCTTATAAGAAATATTAACGTGTATGCAAGGGACTCAAGATCGTCCCTCCTACTTCCAGTCCTACCTAAATGTGCATGAACACTGGCATATCTTATGGTTCCCCTGACAAGCAATGAAGAATGCATATTAATAACAATATGTCAACAAACACCACCTTAACGTCATAAGATTTACAAACCTAAATACATCAGGCCTCTGATCATATTCAACATGTTGACCAGATGTGTCCTTCCATTTAGATGCTGGAGGCAAAAAAAGGTTCAGGCATTAATATATGCTATAAAATTATCAAATAGCAAAAGCTTAAGTCAGTAAAGAAAGTCAATGACAATGTAAGTGCTTTGAAGAACAACATACCCAAACCAAGATCAATAAGATATAACTTCTTCTCATCAGGTGATCCAGGTTGACCAAGTAAAAAGTTCTCTGGTTTAACATCTCCATGCACAAACCTTTTTCATGACATGAGAAATCCATTACAACAAGAAGTCATATCCATGGCAACATAACTGGGAATAGAGGGCATGATTTTAATTTTAAAAAAAAAAACCATCAACATGATTTACCCTTTCATATGGAGCTTCTCAAGAATTGATATTGCCTCCACTGCAATGCATGCAACCATATTTGGTGACATCCTGTCCAAATGCTAAAGCATTAACTAGGAAAAAACAGGATCATTTTAAGTCGAATGCAAAGAGCAATTAGATAGAGGAATATTTCAAATCTTACGCCTGGCCAACAGAATTCCATACATCCCAAAGACTGGGCCCAAGCATGTCCATGACCTGTAGTATTAGAAATACCTTTAACGCAATAAACCAAGTAAAAAGCACGCTGATATGAGTAACTCTAAATCATCTCACCAGGATATAGAATTCTCCTTGGCGGCCCTTGTAATGAACCCATGGAATGCCATAACAACCATTCAGAGTACTTGTAAATGCCAAGGAAACAAGTGTAAGAATGAGACCCAAAAAAAAAAAATCAAAACAATGTTTTCGGAACATAATCGAGATAAACCTGTTCAGACACATCCAATAGATTACTTACTTGTAGACTTGCCACTCATAAGGAGGCCCATAATTGCAGCCTTTACTATTTCTGTGTTCAAACTTCAGTGCAACCTACCAAAAAAACATTAAAAAATTATGAAGTAAGATAGACAAATTATTGATGGTTCATTAAACTTTTAAAAGAGAGATTAAACTTCTGACTCATACCTCCGTTGCGTCAGGACCTGTACGATCAGAGCCACCACTTACTCTTCTACCAACATACACTTGGCCAAAACCACCCTTGCCCAACTTCGTTTCTATCTTATATAAAGGAGAACCACCAACTTGTACCTGACTCAGAGAGCAAGAAATCATCTTCTTAGATGACGATATATATTAATTGATGCTATGAATAATAACCATATAAATATTTCCAAACAGTTCAAGCTAGTATCATTCAACTTGAGAGTTGAAACTGTTAAACTAGCAAAGCCGTTAACTTAGGGATACCGTTTCAGGAACAGGGGTTGCGCATGCCTCCTCTTCAGCTCCTACCACCTTGTCTGCACTTCCCCCCGCCATCAAAATATTATTATTTGCTGCTACCTCTTCACGATTAAGAACAGGTTCAGGGGCCCCAGGTGCAACAGGTTCAGGAATAAGATCAACCAATCTACCTCCCCGGCCCCTACCAGCTGCAGTTCGCCTTGTGGGTACTGCTGGTGAAGTTCCTTTTGCTACAGCTGGAGCATTCCCGCCTCTTCCTCTTCCACCTCCAACTCTCCTTCTGGTCTTGTTTGGAGCAGTTTGCGCCAAATTCTCTTCAATAGGTTGTGGGGCAGGCTGAAGATCACCAAGCCGCTTTGATCTTCTAGCTCCACTTCTCAACTCTGGCATCCTCTCCCCATTCAAATCATAGCCCACTTAAGTCGCTCTGAAAATTTCAACAATCTTCTGCGGTTTTTTTTTTTTTTTTAAATCAAACAGCCAATAAGTTCAAAGCATACATTGAGCAAGCTTTTAGGCAACAAGTGTTGCGCATTCAGGAATAATTTGTAAAACTACATACTGAGGAACCATCGTTCTTAAAAAAGAGGGTTGCAGGAATATAAATAGAGGCAGCCTGAGTTTTTCTCTCAAAACAACATAAAAGAAAGAAGCATGCTGAAAAAAGCGGTATATTCCAAGAAAAGGGGCTACTTTCAGCAAATATACTCCATAACCAAGCAGCAAAAAGAATGTACTTTGCAAAGAAATCTGGGCTTTATGCGTTGCAGACCTAACATAATACTTCTGATATCACCCTTTGTCGGTCGCGAAGTTAGAATACAAATCATAAATGAGAAAAACCATCTAAAAACTGTTTTTATTAGCCCAATATTTCATCGACAAACCAGATTTTATGACTTCGATACTGCAAATTTGTTCCATTGTTTACAACTGTTAGCAAAAGAACGCCAAATAAAGAGATATTTTGAAAACAAATTGAACGCTTAATGAAAGAAAAATATTCCATCCGATCACTGATATCTTTCAAAAAAGAACTGCACAACAAAAGGGAACCGACGACCAGAGATAAACTAACAATTTTAAAAGAAACGAAAAACGAAGAACGGACAAAGTAAGAGACATATGATACTAACGGATCGACTCCATTAGCTGCAGAAAGAAGATGATCGGAGGCAACAACGGACGAAGGCGGTTCCAATAAAAAGAGGAGAGATCGCAGGCGGATCCACGGTCAAGAGCAAAGAGAAGAAAAACGTAAGCACGATAGATGCATTATCAGGAAGAAAAGCTTTATCCTTTGGGGAATGCAGTTATAGGTAAAGCAGCGTGGAATTTAGGGTAGGGAGGGAGATGGAAACTTACAAGAAGTATTAGGTGGCGACAAGGGATTAGCTTTTTGTTGCTTTCTCTCTGTGAAAACGTTTGTATAAGATGAGAGAAGAATGCGATTATGGCGAGTTTAATCGCTGGATGATCCTTTCATCGTCCCACCACTACTGTCTTGGTCTTTTCTCTCGATGTGTGTGTATCGTAAAACTTGTTTTTGTGTATTTCATTTATAGGGCATGCAAATTTGGCTTCCTATTAGCCATCGAGATAAAGGAAGTAATAATAAATTATGTAATTATCTGCTCTTCCTTTTTCCTCCCTTGTTTTACTTTAACCTCTATTTTATTGCTTTCAAAAAACCCTTTTATTTTATTTTGATTTAAATTTAATTAATTCGTTTTCTTTTTTTGCCATATAATTCATGGTATCTTATTATTGCACAAAACATTATTTGCGAATGTGTATGTGTTTCAAAATTTGGAAAAATTCTGCCCAAAAAATTGAAGGACCAATTATTTTAAAACAAAGAGAGGGATATTAAAATTAAAATGGTCCTTAATCGCAGATCACGCGGACTTTTTTCCGCGCCAAAAATTGACCTGAACTTTAGGGGAAGAAATTATTTTATTGTTTGGAAAAAAATTAAAAATTGAATGAAATGACTTAGGATAATCTTTATAACTCCATTTTTTTTCCATTGTTAATGGATAGATCATAAAATAATTTGATATAAATAATATTATTATAAGATTATTTTATCCTTCTCACCTCTCTTTCTCTTAACCTTACTTTAAAAATAAAAAAAATTCCAATGCTTGGTACCTTAGAAAACTTAAGGAGATTGCCATCATCATTAATTTGAATCCTCAGTGAATTATTATTATTATTATTATTATTATTATTGGTTCATGAATATTTTGAGGATGCGTTTACTTATAAATGAAAAAAATATAATTATAACTAGTTTAAATATATTGTTTTTAATGATTCTTAAATAATGATTGAATAAAATTGTTTGTTATTCCAGTAAAATTGTTGTTTATCGAACAATGGAATGGTTCATTCTATTATGATCTGTCTTACTCCATTTCATTAATAATTATTTTGTTCTACGCCATCTTAAAATTTTATCTTGTATGTGGCTTAATTGATTGATGATATCTTTTTTGCTTTTTATTATTTTGAAAAAAAAACTCATATACTTAATGTGCTTATTTTCAATTTAAAGTAAGATATGTGAATCTTGTATAGATTATTTATTTTATATTAATTTTTTATTATTAATTTTATTAACATATTAAAATCACATGATTTAATTAAATATAAGTATATTAAATATATAAAGTAAGCATACAATTCTTACCCTATTGCGAATTGATTGAAATGTTGTCCCTTAATTTGAAATTTTGTCAATAAGAATATCAGCAGTACACTTGCATGTTTTTTATTTGTTTTATCTAAAACTCACATTTAGGGTGATACTACTTCTAAGTTATAAATAAAACTAAGAGGTTGGTAAAAAATATAGTAAAATACTTTGACACCCTTTCTATTTTATCTTAATCACAAATGCTTCCCTTGTATTTCTAAAATTTATACAAACCTTCCATGTTATAAATAGTTACGAAAACACAAACACTATTTGTATTTTTAAAATTTTATTTCCATTCACCCAGCCGTTAGTTACATGTATTGATGTAACATCTTAAAATTTGATCCAATGGTTAGATTAAATTAACTGAGAGATTTAATGAGTTAATTTATTTAACTAGAGGCTAGTTAGAAAGTTTGGATGGCTTGTTAGGTCCATTAACCCTAAATAAGGCTTGGAAAGGGGCTGGAAACCAAAATAATGTGCTTAAGTGAAATTCACAGACTATGCCATGGCAAACGCTATGATTTTTAAATTTCATATAACACATTCTAGTTGTTTCAGGAGTGGAATTTTTGGGTAGAGACCGATAGTAAGGCATGGAGGTTTTGGGGTTCATCCAAGGAGGTGATTTAGGCCTTTGGAGCTTGTAACCTTATAGGTAAGTCTTCCTTACTCTCCTTCCACCCTCTTATGTGTTTTTCTTCCCTTTCTTTTAAATTGTGAGAGTAGGGCCAAGTTGTAGTTGCTCTAATGGTTTTAATGGAGTCTAATGAGGCCTATTTAAGTTTTTAAACCTTAGGTTTGTTTATGGCAGTGACTAGAGTTGTTAATAAGGGGTTTGAAGTTAATAACAATGCTAAATAGCGAAGTTTAAGCTAATAAGGTTAGCTAACGGTGTTTATTTAAGCTTGTTAGAACTTAAATGAGTTAATGAAAGTGAGTGTTAGGGTTGTTTTTTCTTAATTATGCTTAATAAGGTTTAAGGCCTTAATTATAGTTAAGGTTGATTATCGAAGATTAGGCATTAATGTTGTCTATTAATTATTAATTGTATATTGATGATTTCTAAGCTCGCTGGGCTTGTTAAGAAGCTTCCTCAAAATCTAAAGTATACTCTCAAAGTGGTAACCTAAGGGTGAAGGTAACCAAGAGTTAAATTTTTATAGATAATTGATATTTATAGTTATGAGTTGTATATTATTGATTGTGATGAAAATGATAATGTAGGTGTGCAAGCATGTTGGAATTAATTTGATTGGAGTTGTGTGGTCTTACCATGTTAAATATGATGATGGCATGAGTTGCATAGAATGATTGGATGGAGTTCTATATGATTGGCAAGCATGATGTGATGATAGCATTGTAACCAATGTAATCTTAATGAACATGATTACAAGCATTTACATGAGGATGTGGATATGTTTTTAACATGATGCTAAAAATTGAGTATGAATACATGGCTTGATAAGGTAATCTTGCGCATGAATAAAATTGTTTAAGTATATGATAATTTGTCACGCAGCATGAGCTTATAATATTAGCATGAAATTTAAATATTGGTTATTTATTATTAGACTGACAATATAAGCTTGAATATAAGATAAGTTAATCAAGTTTATATTTATAACATGTTACAAAGCAACAGGAGTATGTTGCATAATCATAGATGGGTGAAAGTTCACTCAAATGAGTGAGGATGTTATGAAATCCACATGGTGTTGTCTCTACCAAGATTTGCGCACTGTGGTTGGCATATTTGATTATAATGCATTCATGTCCATTGTGTCTTGGAAATGGCATATGTGAACACACCATTTGGGATCGCCGGTTTCTTGAAGGGGTGGTATGGGTTGAGCAATTATGATACCTTGATAATTTAAAAATGAGAAATCTATAGCTCGAGAGTGGGGAGTGAGTATCTTAGACAGTAAAAACCCCCCAATTAAACAACAAGCCTAATTCGGTCATACGAATTAAGCCTATATGGTTTGATAGCCAATGAATTCAATCAAAAGATATAAGGAGATGAATAAATGTGGAATGCATATGATCATGTATCACACCTCGAAAATGAAGGGTGACTAGTATGAGATGTGAACTGTTTCACACATCCTCGTAAGCCTTAAATTATAAATTCATTCTATTTCTAAAATGCAATTAGATTTATATTGAAATTATAACACTTTTAATATTAATCATTATAACAAAGTTTCAACATGTTCGTAGAAATTTCGGCAGTACTTTCCCTTTAAATAGGATTTCTCAAAATTTTTACAATATGCTGATTCAGTCAAAATATCAAATAAATCAAGAACTCAACTCCTTTTAACTAACAAATAGTATATAAATCAAAATAAAATCATAACAATAACCTATGTGGAGCAACTAATCTTTCTTCTAAATTAAAATACACGAGTCTTAAATATTTACATCAAAAAGTAACAATATCACGCAAAATTACCACCCAGTATAGTTGTATTACCCCTTAGAGGTCAGCGATAAGATCAGCATCAGCTAATGAATCTGAGACCAAAATAAATTTTTTAATGAATGGTATCCCCATAAATAAAATTGAAAGAGTAAAAATAATAAGCTTAAATAATCATGTACAATAATTGAAAAGGGAATAACTCATTATGAGAACTAAAAAACGTCTAAACTTTTAATCATAAATGAGAGTAATTTGGAAGTACTTTATTCTATCATGCTTAAAGAAACAAATCATTCATACTTAAATCAAAATAATATGCTTGCTAACCAAAAATCATTGAAATTTCAAAAATACATGTTAATCAAAATTTAGAATTGTGAGAACTTAACAGAATAGATAACAAACGTAGATACATATTCCATAAGGATAAATAACCAAATATAGCTTATGCTGCAAAGATAAACATGGACACACAATCCATAACGATAAATAACCAAACGCAGCCTGAGCTACGAAATAAAGGTAGACACATAATTTATGAGGGTAAATAACCAGACACAGTATCAAGGCCATGAAAATCAAATGCAAGTATGAAGCCCATGAATAAAAAACATGAGGACCAAGCACATGAGACAAACTAGCTAGTTATTAACCATAGCACTACAAGTTAGCGAAACTGTCATTGGCAGTAGTGTTTTGTTTAGAGTCCTATTAGAAATTACATTTTAAATGTGTGAGAAAAGTAATTATTTGCAATAAAATTTACATTCTCAATGCCAAACTTGCATGAATTGTTTCAAATCTCAAAATTTACCAAAACAATACTTTATAGCTAATGTACAAGCTTGCATTAATTGAGTAACTAAGGAATTCCAAAATTTAATAAACAAAGATGTCTTCATCAATTTTGGAAATATATTTCTTAAGAAAAAATAAATGCTCATATCATAATTTAATTATCTTTCATTAATATTTCATAATTTCCAAAACTAACATAACCAATAAGAGTAAAATATTTTAGTAAAAGACTACTAAAAATAAATTAAATGGGATGTTGTTTACTTACTCATCGAATTTTTAAATTCTCCAAAGATATTCTTCATTTAATTATTATCAAGGTCCTGTTCTTTCACACATCCTATAAGGATATAAATAAATACACTGTTAATAAATTTTTAATTTATTACACAATCTCAACCAACTATCATCATTTAAAATTTCAAAACCAAAATTCATGCTTTAGAGTTAGTCCAAGTATTATCATTCATATTACTAGTCTCCTCCAATTTGTCTTAATCATGCCAATCTATTTTCTTGAAACATAATTTTCTCTCAAATTTTGCACCAAATGCCTTAGGTGCATTACTTCTACCCCTTCAATTTAA